ACACAAACACTCAATATACAGATGTTTTAATACGGATTTCTCTTCAGTAAGCGACAGTGCGCCTTAACTGCTAAAGTGCGACCAAACGCGTTGAATTCCGTGTTGAAAGGCTTTAGAGTGACTATATTAAAAAAAGCATATAACGTACTCGAAATTTAAATGTTGATTATTATCAAGACATAATGTAATGTTTTATTTGTGTCATACCTTTACTTGAAGAAGCTCCGCTATTATCTCATTAAAATTGTGCATCTGTTATACAAAGAGGCTAGCACCTTGATGTTGGAACACACTATCCATCAAAACTGTGATCAATTTTCACCACCTAATATTTTCAAACATTTGTGAAACATACGGTTTATGAAACTTGAGAGCGTGGAGCCTATATACCAGGAGAAACAACGGCAATGTTGGTCGACCTCGAAACTTGACGCCCGAGGTACCAGTGGTGCTTTGACAGGGTTGTCATATTGGGGGATTTTCTCCAAATTTTGAGGAATTTTTACTAAGGAAATTTTATTGGGATATAATGTTCTGTAAACGTAAACTGATCAGCAACTGACATGTTTGTCTGTTCCTAACCTTAGATATGACAATATGACCCTGAGCCTAACTAACTCCATGTACTTCTGGTTTTATATTATATATTTTAGTTTAAACCTCATTGAAAATTCCGTTGAAAAAATTACAACTAGGCTATAAGTTTAGTGGCAAGTTTCAAGTGCCTACAAAATTCGCACATCAAATATTTAATTCTTCAAGTCAATGCTAACAAATTAGGATAGATTGATACCCAGAATGTTTCTTCAACTTTTTTTCTAAATTTAATACCGACATTATAGTCACTCTATGCCTTTCTGTTGAATAATATGCTTGGTGTGCAATGAAGCAACTTAAAAGTATCAAACGACTAGATTATTTCCAAAGTCTTATCGACTAAAGTTTGAAAAATACGTATAACATGACTCATGGCAATATATTCGGAGATTCAGTATTAAGAAAACTTAATTTACGTAAAAAATGAGTCGTGAGGTATTTTTCCTCTAGTAAGAAAATTGGAACAAATACGCTCTATTGATAGTATTCAAGAGTTTGAGGAAGGCTTTTGAAATACTTCCAATGTTACTACTATGACGCGATGTTGCCATATGCTCCATTTTCCCTGATATGGAAAAATATATTCACATTTTGTTTGCACCAACATGTACGTTAAAATTTGGGCAAGCAACGTACCAACTGCTTGCGGAAGAAACTGAGAACTCCCAGTTCATTCACTAATTGACCAATCCTTAGATCAAAACATATTTGAAATCGAAATATTTATTAATATCAAATGCAATGCCGCCACACGTTATACTAAATGGTAAATGGCACCTGGTTTTACTACATGTTCATGAATGAGATTTCTCTTTGTGGAAATACATACAACTGTCAAATACAATACGCGACTTCATTCCAGCAGAAAGTTGTGCCTAAAAACAGCAATCCTTGAATCGAATAGGAAGATGAAAAGAAGTTATAACCATTGATTGAGATTAGATCTCAGGTAGAAATGTTAAGCAATAACACCTTCGAAAAAAATTGCTATAGTCCATCTTTTGCTCCAAAGTATGCCAGCCATTCATAGTTAATAGAAATGCCTTGTGAAATTTGCGCTTGACATGGTGAAAACAAAACATAAATGATTGAAAAGTCAGGTGTACATATTTCATTTCGAACAACTTACAATATTTGTAACATGAGCATTTTCATGGAAAAACGCAAACGCTGTCAAATTCAAGATGCAAAGTTCTTGGTTACATCAGTCTCGGTAAGCTCAGCAGTATTTGACAAGACAGATTAATCCAGAATATTAGATCAAGAAGCAATTTTGAGCGATGAACTGTGATTATTCCTTGGTTATGCACTTGATTATTCTGCATTTGTGGTCTACACTGTTTTGTGGTCTTCGATTATAAATATAGTTCATATATAAGTAAATACTTTACTGTGATATTAAAAACACACCTAATTACTTTTTAAACTTTGCACACAAAAAATCAATGCATGACTCCATAGAAACTCAGTAGTGTTCTACGCCTGTTGTCATCTGAGATCGTTTTTCTTATCGAGAACTTTTCACAAAAAAATTTTAAATCACAAAACAAACACAAAAGGCACAAAATTACAGAAAAGCGTAATAATATATTCTTGGGTTGAAGTTTGACATTCAGAAACCGCATAGAAATCACCACCTGTGGACAAGGTTGTTATTCGTCTTAACTGTCAGTAACCGTGACGTCACGAAAGGCCACTTCATGGCGTCATCATTTCACAGATGTTACAAACTGGCGTCGCTCAAAAACAAAAGTTTGAAACCATACACGACCGGTTATGATTTATCGATCACTTAAAATTGCTCATAGCATCACATATATGACTGACAATTGAATTTTTCCGAATGTCATGTCGCCGTAATCATCAAAAACTGTACGAATAATTCTGGGTAAATGGTATGTAGTAAAACCAGGATGTAAATAAAGAAAACAATCGTCCATCACCAAAAATATACCCTTACAGTAACGTAGGCATTTGCTTAAGCTCGTAGTTTTAGCACATTCGGACAGATGTAGGTGGCGCTGCGTGCTATTCGCATGCCAGTTTGCTGTCAAAACGCTTAGCGCGATCGCAAAAGCCTGCAATGCGCACAACGGATATCGTAGTCATTGTAAACAACGTCTTCCGCCACGCACCGACCTACAACGAAAAAACGTTGATTATCAAGGTTATCAACTATTTTTTATTCGTATGGTTGGCGAAATTATCTAAGATTCTCAGGATGTTTTCCATCTGTTAGCAGTACAGGGTGTTCCGAAAATTGCGACTAAGAATTATATTATGCCATCTTGTAGATGAGAAAAAGTGACAATGTCATGTAACCATTTATTTTAAAATAACATCTCAAATAAGGCCAGAGAACGATTTTTTGGATAATTCGGTTTGTTTTCGTTTATCTCCGGAAATACTTGGAATGGCGAAACTTTCCACGTGCCACTTTCTTAGTTGCCTACCCCCAATCTCTTACCGTTTCTGGAAGTCCAATAGTGAGTGCCGAATTTAAACATCCCGCATGTTAACCTACACATCGTGTGGGCGCCCTGATTTGGATTCGCACCACAAAACATCGTACCTCGTGACAAAGAATGCAGGATCGGGCTTGACCCACTTCGAGCTTTTCAGAACTTAATATCTCTGTCACTTTAAGGCTTTGGTGTATGTGTTACTAGGAAAACTTGCTTACTGTTTCCTGAACTATATGATCTGTAAAGTCCCAACTTTAAGGACACCCTGCAATACAATTCCATGTGCAAACGCGTTTGATTACCACTCAGGATTAGGTGTTGTGGGGTGTGCGAAACCTTGTTTATATGTGGACAAGAAGAGTATGTGACATGAGAGCAAACTGACCAATAAAACAAGGAATATTGTTACACAATGAATGAAAACCTGGTCGCCCATCTACTGTCTGTACTTCTACTGTAATAAAAGGTATTCAAGCCATTAAATGTCAAACCTCATGCTGAGTAGTATTTTGATTACCTTAAAAAAACGATTTTTATCATATGCTTTACAACTGATATGATAGAAGCAATCGAGTAACCCACTCTCCACTACACCCATGTACAGGTAACCATAGACTCAAAAACTTTCTCCACCAACCACACATATTAAAAAATAGTGTAACATACATCTGAGACATTCAAATATTTACCATTTCATATGCAACAAACTAAATATTTGTTGTAAAAGTGAAAATAATAATAACAATATGTACTCACCAAATTGCATAACTACATAGTCAGGATCACTATCGTGCACAATTTGAAATTTTTGACAGAAGCCTGTGTAACCCTTCCGTGGAAATTCAGAACATATGACTGGGTATCATCATTCCAAACTGGCGTTTTGTTATGAAGTTCTATCAGGTTATCCATATTTTTTGCTTTCCAGGATTCAATCAAACTTTCACTCTCGTCCTGAGGATAGATCTGCACTCTCTGCTCATCAGCCTGAAAAAAAAACAATCAACTGTAAAAATCACATAATGAATTCTTAAATTAGCATACAACTTAGGCTTAACAACAAGGCTTATTGAATCCAATTCCTAAAGGTATTAATGTTCACTATTTTGTTGAATACAACCAATGATGCTGTTCAAACCATTCTTTTAAAGCATTTTGTGTTGGCCATGATCAGTTGCAAAAATTGGTACACAGAGTAATACGTAAATAAAGTATTTACCATTCCAGGAATAATAACAGTCATTTTCCTAGGCCCTTTGAATCCAAGGACGTTTGTGTCATAAATAACAGAGGCCAGTTCTTGTCGTGGCAGAATGTCCTCTTTCAGATTTGCCTTTCTAGGTGAGACACCATTGTCATAAACTGTAAATTGGGTGCCTAGAGGTTGGATCTCAATTTACCTGAAAAGTATAACCACTATGCCGAATTCTGTTGAACAAAACTCAATCTACAGTGAAATTCAAATTTGACTGACAGTTTTCATCTATATTCATCTAATGGGTGACCTAAGACGTGACCTTGACTATGAACCTGCAGTTTTCTTAAATGAAAATTTCTATTTTTTGACGCTGAAATAAACAGATCAAGAACCGTATGTTCAAGTATGACCAAAGTATACTAAGTGGACATATAAATCCGAACACCCAGTTTAAATGGTTTTATTTTAATAAAATTTTTGTATAAGTACTTAATGAAGCATAATAAGTAAATGATAAAAATTTCAAAATGATTGCACTGCTTTAAAGCCCTATGACCTTTAATAATGTGTGGATGCACCCTGATGTGCTACGCATTCTCCACGCGCCTAGGCATGCTTCTGATCAGGTGGTCAATGTCCTCCTGTGATATCTCATTCCAGGCAACCACCAACTCCTCTCGAAGTGCTTCTAGAGTCTGAGGAGGACGTTGCAAATTGAGCAATCTCCTAGCCATCATATCCCACACGTGCTCAATTGGGGATAAGTCGGGAGATCTTGGTGGCCATGGTAACAATGTGACATCATTATGTTGAAAGAAGTCTATTGTGACTCTTGCAACAGTTGGTCGGGCATTATCTTGTTGGAAAATTGAATCTGCCTGGGTGTCAGATAGGGTAAAAGATGGGGTTCTAGAACTTCGTGGATATAACGCTGCGCGTTCATGTTACCTCTGATGAAGATTAAGGTGACCTGGAACCATAAGCTATAGCACCCCAAACCATAACTCCAACAGTGTAATGAACATGTCTTTCAACAAAAAACTGTGGATTCCTCCTTTCACCACGTCGCCTTCTAACCCTGGCACGACCATCGTGCATGCCTAAACAAAATCGAGACTCGTCACTAAAGACAATACTGTTTACATTCCTGATCTCAGAGTGACCGTTGTCTGCACCACTCAAGGCGATTACGTCGGGTGTTCTCGAGTTAAAGGGAGGACCCAGTTTGGCCGGTATGAAAACAAGCCAAAACTTCTCATTCGTCGGTAACACTTCGCATGCCAATAGGTCTTCCGTGTTCTGCAAAACCATTCATTTTGCAATGGACCTGGTAGTGGAGAAACGGTCCCTCAAGGCCAATAATCTTAGGCGGCGATCTTCACGGTCTGTTGTTTCTACGGCGGCGTCCAGTGCCCCTTGCTCTTTGCGTACGGCCTTCTCGAAGCCATGCCTGACACACCTAACCATAGTGTCTACACTTCTTTGCACTCTAACTGCAATTGCCCGAAAAGAAAGTCCAGCTTCCCGAAGTCCCACTATACGGCCCCTATCAAACTCACTAAGTTGACGAAATCGTACAGGTCTCCGTACTCTAGGCATCGTAACCGATCGTAAAGGATGTCAAGAACCAAAATCCGCCAACGTTGATTCTTTACTGCGGCTGAAATATTCATTTTTAGAGCGTTAGTGAATTAAAAAAAAGCAGTATAAAAACCGGAATGTCCAACTGATAAGGCTGAAAATTTTTTCACTCTTATTTACAGTAAGATAAATACATTCACCAACTTTTATGAAAATAAAACCATTTAAACTGGGTGTTCGGATTTATATGTCACTTAGTATATTTAAGATCAAATGATTTTTTTACAGAAAACATGTATTTTCTTGAATTGCAAATTGTGGACAATTTTAGGTTCAACTTTACCCTTGCCAATGAACCTGACCATGAACTTCAAGGTCATAATAATATCAGATAATTTTTCAAGAAAAGCGAAACATTGCAATCAGTTTAATTTTTACCTTAATATGTTTGATAAAAAATGTTCATTGCTGAATATTTCCTTTATTTCTCTGAAACCAAGCTCGTTCATACTAATGCAAAATAAATTACCTTTACTACTTTACTGGAAATATATCAAGTTTTTATAGTTCACCATATGAATGACGAGTCCAAATAACCAACCAAATACTGAAGTACATCTTTACCTACCAACAAATGATTCAGCACTTCTTGACAGATCCGTAGGATCCGTTGATATCAAATAATTGCTGGTGGTACTCTTTTTTCTTTTCCTAGCAGCCAATAAAAACACCTTCTTTCCATAATCCTTCTCCAAGTGTAAAAAATATGTTGGATACAGCCCTCTGTCCATACCTTTCCTATCCCTGGTAATGCGACATTTATACAACACTTTCAATAGTGCTGGTTGTAGGACAAATTTGTCTACATTACCTTCAATGTCACCTTCAGCTTCCGGAGCCTATGCAAGTCAAATGGAAGAACTTGATAATTTCCATACTGAAGATTACTTAAATGTTTTAATCAAGGTTCAATAAATGCTTATAAAAGATCAAATACACAAAACTATAGAATAAGGCATGAAAAACCACAAGGTTTCACAAAGGTTAATAGTCTAGTTGGATATTAGTTTTAAAAAAGTCCATAATAATTGAAAATCAGACATGTCAATTGTAACTTACCCCATTTGTCTGATGGATAAAATTTGTTTTGTCGTCAATGGGATTTATTGGAATGTTTCCATTGTTGTTTGGGGTAGATGCTACAGGGGATGATTCTTCATCTTCAATATCCATCAGGTCATTGGCATTATCTGTGATGTCCTCCACAACTGTCCCTGAGGTTCAATATGTTATTTATGCATTTTTATTGATTCAGCCAAAGCTTGTGATAGCATCACTCAAGACTAACTACCTTAGAAAATTTGGCATTTCAAGGAAGAAATAGAAATAGAATAGAAAAATGGAACACAATATGCAAATATCAATAACTCACCAAGTAAGATGTTACAGTTAGGTATGGAGTTCCACAAGGAACTGTGTTAGGAGCAGTTTTATATAATCTATATGTGAATAATATTTTTAAATTGAATAATGATGGAACATTTATTGGTTATGCAGATGACATGGCTATTATGTTTTCAGACTTTCAGATAATGATTGGAATTTTTTTAAAGATCAAAGTCGAATTGGATTTCCAAAAGGTAATGAATTTTTTCACAGAAAGGATTTTGCAAACTAATTTTAACGAAATATACTTCATACCGTACATTCCCTTAAGACATCTTCACCCTTTAATAAATTCTAAATTCAAACACCAGATGGCTACAAATAAATAACATCAAATACTTCTATATTTTTAATTTTTTACATGATAGGTAATAAGACAAAATGACATATACATGTTGAATGTCAAAAAGTTAAGATACCTTCTTTGAAAAATTAAATATTTCAGCAGTTTCTTAAATGTGAAATATTTATACGGGATTTATCAACCCACTTATTTCTTATGTACTTGTCATGGGGTGGAGTCATGAATATTTATTATAAAAAGATTGAAACTGCTCAGAAGTGGATAATAAATATTATGTTTAACAGAAATAAATTATATCCGACAGAAAATCTTTATAGGGAATCACAAATTTTGGGCTCCAGGCAACTTTATTTCTGAATAAAATCATATATTTAACTAATCAAAATTTATTGCAATGTATCATAAACAACAAACATGATTCAAAACACATCAGCAACTACAGCCCGATTAAATAAAGCTTCAAGTCAACAATCATTTTATAATACAATTCCACCAAATTTAAAACATATACTCCAAAAAATGTACCAAAATTGAATTAAAGTTGTGAATTCTAAGTCAGCCACTATTTATATTTATATGGTTCTCGAAATGCCCATTTCTTGGGATCGATGCGTTGTTGATTGTTTCGGATCGTCTCTCACACTCTCCTTCACAACAGCAATATTTTCCGGTGTGCGAACGCTCCTTGGCCGGCCAGAGCCTGTCAGATTTGCCACAGAACCTGTTGCCTCGAATTTACGCACCAGACGACCGATGGTTGTTTCGTTTGGGCGGTTGTTGCGACCGAAATGTTCACGAAGCGCGCGAAACGTGTTTTTTATTTTTGCACCATTTTTGTAGTGCTCTTGGATAACTTTAATGCGGTCTTCAATGGAATACGACTCCATAGCGATCAATGGCAAACATTCAACTAACAAAATAACATGTCAGTGACAGAAAACAAACATGGCGTCCTATGTCAAATTGACGTTTACTTTCCTGCATCCCTATTGGACAACCCCTTACATAAACTCATATACATCAAAAAACAGTATGTCCTATGACTGAAGGGTATATAAATTTATACTTTTGATCAAAATATAAAATCTTTTGTGTTTTAAAATATTCTAAGTTTGATTTATTATATCTCAAGCCCAAGTACAAGTTGTATGTTAATGGGTATTTCATATTTATCAGTATATTTTCATGTATTACTAATGCACATTTTGTATTTTAACCAATAAACATTCTTATTATTATTATATTATCACACTGTTCAGATGATACAAAGTGAAAATTAACGCATGATACACATTATAATAATATAATTGTGTCACAACAATCCAGTTAATTTGACATTTGAAAAAGAAAATTGCATAATTTTTCCTATAAATAACAAAATCCTATTGTTTCCAGTAGATTTGTCACAGTATACTATACTAAGCTAATGTAATATTATCTTATGAACTTCTAAAACACTAGTGTGTAAATTTATTATTTTATTCTGAATTCAGTTCTGAGCGGAACTATTTTTGTATACCTCAGAATCAACTATAAAGTCCTTTTTTTAAGTCAATGTTGCCATTATTGTAAATGTTCATTTCCAGCACTCATACATATAACAAGAAATTAAAATTTTATCAAAGAAACATTAAATTTGACACCTATGGTTTTATTTATTGGCCAGAACCAGATATAGATATGAATTGGGAATCCAGTACTACCCTCATATAAAAAGTGGTAGCAGTTTTCTAGCTTGCTGGAGCAGAGATATTACTGCTATAAAGCAAAGCTGTAAAGTGAAATCAAATATAGTTTCAAAATTTTAGTCACCACCCCTACAATTTTATTTTTCTATACAGTTAATATCTAAATGTTAAATTATATAATCTCTAGATGTTCCAAGATATGATCATACTCATTACTAAAATTTGCCTTGTTCAACTGTTATGAGTCTATATAAACGGTAGTTAACTGTTCATGTCTTTAATATCTTTGCAGTTATGCTTCATTGTATACATTACTTATCAAATATGACCAAATAACTAACAAACATTACAAAGGTTTTAAGTAAAATATTGTATGCCTCAGTAGCCCATTCAGTGTATGTAGGAAATGATGTATTACTGAGCCCAAAATACTCTTTAGAACATTTTGATTTACTGGCATGCAATGGTATTTTAAAATACAAATGCTTACCGTCCATGCTATCAGCTGTAGTCAGTATTGATATAACTTGGTCAGGATTATTGTCTCGTCCCATAGCATACTGCAAAGGCCCATCATACCCTATAAGATAAAAACTCTATAATTTTATTTCACTTAAACATAAGATTTCTCACCATGTAGTTCCTTTTGGTTGATGTTACAGGACCGACTTTTGGCCGAGGTTCCCCGTACATCGGAAGCCTGAATCATGCCTGAAGTAAGTCGCTTCTGCTTCATTTTCTGCTCCATTAGCTGCCTCTGCAAAGCAGAATGTTCATAATAATCTACATAAAAATGCCGCCTGACATTTAAACCATACCTGCTGTTCTAATTTCTGAGTTCTTACGTCCATTTCTAACATATTCGCTAGTTGATGCCAGGTTCATCTATTACACGAATGCTTTTGTTGTTGATTGTTACCACTGGAGATGTGAAATAAATCGATTAATAACTTAAAAAACGGAAATCTATAAATGTTTGTTTACTGGTTCTGTTTGGATTGTCCTTGGTGTTGTCATTTGTGGCGTTTTGTTTTGAAATCGTCACATCTGTTCCATTGTTGTACGCTTTGGAGTTTTGATTGTATCCGAATGTGGAATGAGGATCAAACTCGTTCACACTGCCTGTTAAGAGGAACAGACTAGCATGACACACAGAAGTGACAAATGATGCATTCAAACCATGAAACTTTCCGTTTTGTGCTTAGCTTTTCTCTGCCACATTGCCAGTTCTTCCGAAAAATCCAATTTACAGAAGTTTTAATATTCGCACACACATCAGGGACCGACGACAATGCAATAATTTCAATACCACATGTCCACAAAAAAATAATTACAAATTGAACTAAAAAATAAAAATACATAATAGTTAAAACTAAAAAACACGCTTTTATAGCCAGGCGAACTAAAAAGTAGAAAATAATTTTTAATTACAAAGATTTTATATTACAATGGTAGTCAAAATAAAATTATAACAAAATTCAATTTATTAACAGAATAATTCAATTCAGAGTAAAAAGCGTGGAGTGCATTTTACTATATTTTCGTAATTCTTCTCTCATTGATGGTTGCCAATAAAATGATTGTAACATTTAATATATCAAGCACTCCACGCTTTTACTCTGAATTGAATTATTCTGTTAATAACTTACATTTTATTATAATTTTATTTTGGGGGTCATTAATTATGATTATTTCTCGACCATCTACTACTGTAATATATCTTTGTAATTAAAATTTGTTTGATTCGGTTAGCTATTAAAGCGTGTTTTTAGTTCTTCAAACTATCATTTATTTCGGTGATACTAGGGATTCTTTGTAATACCTGGAAATGGTACGGTTTTACTTTGGAACAAGTCAAGCTTAAATTACACAAAATGTACTGCCACTGCGTAGTCTTCTTATTTTCTGATCACAATCTGACAACGTTGTACGTTGGATGGAAAGGAAAGACAGCATTCAAGACTTCAAGAGGCTTTCAATTTCAATTTGCTAAAAAGAAAATGGTGGAAGGCTAAAAGTGATTTTTATCCGGCTTTTCTTTGTGATTTGTAACTTGTATTGATTTTACAATATTGTGTTACATATTGATTGTGCTCGAAAACTACGTCAACTTTTACATGTACTATGCAACTGTATCTTATAGTTATCAAACATGTTGTATGCTATATTTAGGATTATTGCTGAATTGCGGCAAAACATTTTCTAGATAGTTTCAGGAGATTTTTTGTACCAGTCGAGCTTTTGATCTTATAGCTAGATAAATCGTTGCTGTTAGCTTTAACTGCAAGATGTATAACAATGTGAGTATTTAATGATCACAAACATGTTCATCTATAGTGTGAGGTGAGTTTAACGTTCTGACTGGATCTTTTTTTTAATAGTCGCAGTATCCCCAGGGATACCACAGCGGATATCCCCAATATCAGCAAGGATATGAGAACTACAACTATCAAACCTATGGGCAGACCTACACACCAGCATCAAATGTAAGCCCAAATATGTAATTTTTTTTCTCTACTTTGTACTGCGACACCACCAGTTGTTTTACAGTATCAGCGAAGGAGCCCATAAATGAGCATATTTTTGTTTCAATATTTGGTCATAATTTTGACAACTATGACCTAGCCACTGTGAGCAAATTGCAGAATGTGGCTTGGATCTTCATACATAGCTCAGCAATGTTGTCTGCTAGCTATAAGCAGACGAGAATTTCATGTTAGATGAACTACAAAATCAGGCAAGAAATACTGATGAAACTGTATGCATTATAGCAGCTTGCATATCATTACATTAAGTAGGATTCTGATTGTTCAACAACCAGGTAGCAACATATGAAAATATGTAGGAATATCAAACATGTCTATGTAGCCCCACTATACTGAAAATGTATTGTAGTATATTGCTGACTACTCTACTGCTACGAGATAAGCAGTAAATATATTGGCCATTTATGGGTGCCCTAATACTATATAATCTATATTTTTTCTATCACATGCTGATCTATTTAATATTTAATTTTCCACTTGGCAATGTGTTGACATTTAGTGGCATATCAGAATTGCTTTTAAGTAGATTTATTTAGTTCTCAACTGACTGGATGAATAGTATAATCATTTGAACCATTTCATTAGGCTCAGTCTGAGTATATGCTGTAAAGTGACTTAATTCTTTTTGTGAAATAGCTCACAAAAAAATGTTACCGAGAAGGCATGGAACAGCACAAGTGGTCCTTTTCAACAAGGAATTTCTGACTGTCATAGACTGCCAAATATCTATACAAATTGACAGTATGATGTAGCATAGCTACATGCTGAAGTTATACTGGCAATGACTGGAACTTTCAGAAATTCATTGTTGGGAAGCCCTGAAGGTTTGCTCTTGTATTTGATGATATATTGAATTTCACTAAAGGATCACTTGATGGTTGTTATCACTCTTTGTCATGTTGAAGTATTATGAAAAATATACAGGGTGGCACATCGAAAATGAAATAGATGCATTTACTGGAACCTAGTTTTTTTTTTTGGAAAAACGCTCAGTCCCGCCGATTTTGTTTTTCGAGGGGGATACAAGTTTGGAAAAAATCACATTAACACGTGCAGCCCCCTGGGCGGGTGACACCAACTCTAAAATCTTAAATGGAAAAGGGGGGTTGAGTGATACCTTATTATAAAGGTATTTCAATTCCTTTATAATGATGTAAAATACATGAGTTTCAGTTCAGTAGTTTTGAAGATTTAGTGATTTAAAGCTTAAAGTAGACTTTAATAGGTACATCAGATTAGTTTGTACTACTTGCAGAAGAAATTTGAATAAAGAATTTAACTAAATAAGTAAATGCTTTTCTTCACTACGCCCATGGTTTATCATTTTGTTGTTGAAAATAGCTATTGGAGCGCTTTTTTTTTGTGGCAAAAAGTTATTTCTTGAAGAAAGATAAGGAAATATCTGGTACTTATTTTAAATAGGAATTTAGTACATAGTTTGGGATTGATTTGACCAAACTTTGTTGCTAAAATAACTTGTAACACTTTATTACATAAATTAACCATGGTATATTCCTCAGCAGAAAGAGTTTGAAATTATCGAAATATTTTTCGGAAATAATCAGTGCGCTAATAGAACAGCAGAAATATTTAATGAGCGACATGAGAACAGTAACGTGCATCGAAAATACGTTCTAGAACTTGTAGCTAAATTTCGGGAAACTGGGTCAGTCGCCAGTAAAAAACGCAACATTGAAAATCCCATAAGTAACGAAGCAATAGAAGTGGGGGTTTTAGGGCAAGTTTATGTAGATCCTACGTTAAGTACCCGCAAATTATATATATTATATCATTATAAAAGGAATTGAAGGACCTTTAAAATAAGGTATCACTCGATCCCCCCTTCCATTTAAGATTTTAGGGTTGGTGTCACCCCCGCCCAGGGGGCTGCACTTGTTAACGTGATTTTTTGCCAAACTTGTGTCCCCCTCGAAAACAAAATCGACGGGTCTGAGCGTTTTTCAAAAAAAAACTGAGCTGCCTGTAAATGCGTCTGTTTCGTTTCGATGCGTCACCCTGTATAATACTTTACTGTAGCTAAATTTCGGGAAATTGGGTCAGTCGCCAATAAAAAACGCAACATTGAAAATCCCATAAGGAACGAAGCAATAGAAGTGGGGGTTTAAGGGCAAGTTTATGTAGATCCTACGTTAAGTACCCGCAAATTGGAGACTGTGTGTGGTGTTAGTCGACGTACTGTCCAACGGATTCTAAAGGCCCATAGTTTTCATCCGTATAAAATTCACCTGGTACAAGAACTTAATGAAGACGATTTTGATTGGCGATTACAATTTTGTGAAGATATGAGTGAACGAATAATAAGCGATGAACATTTTCTACTCAATACTTGCTTTTCCAACGAATGTTCCTTTTTCTTAAATTGCGTAGTAAAGCGTCATAACTGCCGATATTGGTCCGATTCTAATCCCAGAATTTATCATGAGGTTCATACACAGCAGCAACAAAAATGAAATGTTTGGGCTGGTATTTTTGGCGATCATTTAGTTGGTACTTTTTTCTTACTTGGAAATTTGACCAGTGAAATGTATTTGGAATAATGGAGGACGCCATATATCCTGCATTAACCGCCATAATTAAAAATCGTAATGATCGGCGGTACATTGCGAATAGGTTGATGTTCCAACAGGATGGTGCCCCACCAATTATGCATTACGTGTTCGACAATATTTAGATCAGACGTTTCCAGATCGATGGATTTGTAGAAGAGGTGCCATTGAATGGCTCCCAGGATCGCCAGATTTATCACCTTTGGATTTCTTTATGTGGGGTCATTTAAAAAGCAAAATCTATGCTACTCAGCCAACATCATTAGAAGACCTGCGACAAAGAATTATGAATGAGTGCCTTCAAATCACTCCTCAAATAATGCAAAATGTGCGGCAACGTTTTGAGCAAAATCTTTATTATTGCATGGAGAGTCATGGTCGCCATTTTCAACATTTACCTGCCTAACATGTCAATTCATTCTTCATTTTTAAATTACTTTGCTGCCAAATGTATTGATCTCCACTAATGAAGATGTATTAGTTTCATTTAAGCTTTAAATCAATAAATCTTCAAAATACTGAACTGAAGTACATTAATTTTATATCATTATAAAGGGAATTGAAAGACCTTTAAAATAAGGTATCACTCGACCGGGTTCCATTTAAGATTTTAGGGTTGGTGTCACCCCCGCCCAGGGGGCTGCACGTGTCAACGTGATTCTTTGCCAAACTTGTGTCCCCTCGAAACCAAAATCGACGGGTCTGAGCGTTTTTCAAAAAAAAAAACAGCTGCCAGTAAATGCGTCTGTTTCGTTTCGATGCGCCACCCTGTATATTGTATTGAGGATCCCTTCACACACATATATGCTTCTATTATCTTGGGTTTGATATGATAAAAGTTCATAATTCTGTCCAAGTATACAACCTTAATATAATCAATATTTTGAAATTGCTTTAGAAGATATTTCTTTGCTCTTGGTAACGTGAGAATTACCTCTAGAATGTTTATTTCAGATATTTTTTAGCCCTTGGTAACATGAGTACTGCCTCTAGAATGTTTACTTCAACCTTGTGAACACTTTAAGAATAATATAAAAATATTTATTCCTTACTAATTTGTCCTGGGGAAATTTTATCTGATCCATCTCCCAATCCTGCCTAGGACTGCTGCCTTAGTTGCCCCTAAATCAACCTGTGGTCAAGTTGTGATACTGTTATTGATAAAATTTTGAATGAAGTATGGATAACTATTTTTATTTCACATTGGACTTGAAACTTTGAAATTTAGAGAAATGGTTTTTCTCAGGTTGCTACCCAACCAGTTCCGCCTGGTGACGGTTTTACAGCCACAAACTGGACTACTACAACAACACCAACTACATCTTCAGATAATTATACTACAGTCAAAACAGATGGTAAGTGAAAGAAATATATCACTTTTTAATCATCTCAGAAGCTGTTCAGCAAGATGTCCTTTTTACTTATTCATTATATGTTCAAAAATTTCTATCACTCATAGAGACAGTTCACACAGCTTCTGAGATACAGAGTCATGTCAATAATAATTATTTGAACCTGTAAGTTATGTTTCTTACTAGTGATTGCATAGTTTGATGTTTGTATGTATTTCAACTATGTTGGACGTAACTGACTCAGTCAATTGTCCAGTCCGGTCAAGTACAGATAAACAATGAACCAATGCAGTTTTTTTACTAATGGTGGGTATTACAATAGGAAATAACTTTTTTGACATATATGAGTGCTTTTGCATGCCCAACATAAAAAAGATTATTATATTTTGAGTGCAGTGATCTTGTGTCCAGGTATGGACTTGCAACAGGTAAATCAGGATATGCTTCATATTATGCATAATTTGTTACTTTTTATTTAAAATAAATAAAATGTACTTGGTGGAACCCAATTTAACTTAGGTATATCAATATATTTTGTAAAATAATTGTTTATATCTCTCTACTTAAAATTGTAAAATGATGCATGGAATAAAGTTATTCATAATATAGTTGAGTTTTTATTCATGTTTTTGGGTTTGCCTTGAGGTAACTTGATTTCCACGTTGTTTTGTATTATTTTCAAAAGCATAATGACACATTGCATTTGCAAGTGACAAAGTGAATTGTGGAAAATTGATGGGGTCAAACTGCAGTGAAAGAGTTTTGATCTTGTTCTTTTAGGCCGAGTTCATAAACTGCTTAACTTAATTCGCTGGTCACTTATTTTAGTACTACCAGTTGTCTAATTTCATTGCAGTTTTGCGGCGAATGTAGTCTCAACCTTCCTCCACGCGATGCCTTAAAGCCCACTGCGATCATATAGAGTGTGTGCACTAGAGCACTTAAACTAACGAAATCCTATATAGAAAAGTTACTGGGATCTTTACATGAATCTGCCGCTACAGTTCACCTTTTAGCGCTGAACTCTGAACCGTATTTTATGGTATTCTGGTGTTATAATGTTTTATCAATTGATCATATGAGCAGAATGACGTATCCAGCATTTAGGCTCCCATTGTACACTTTCCCTCATTTCTTTCATTTTCAAGGTGGAGCAGTGTACTGTGAACTTTATAATACAATACATACATAAGAGCGCCGAATTTGATTTTCAAGAAAAACACAATTTCTTTTCGAATTAAGCGAGTATTTATATTTCAACATGAAGAGGAATAGTTGCGATTAAACATGAAATAGGACATGGTAAATAGTCACCAAGAAACCTCTGGCACAGGGTTAGTTTTTTTCTTAAAATTCTGGGTAACGTTTTCGCACAACTGTGGCTCTATTTCGTCGATAACGCTCCGTATCTTTAAGGCGTTCAACTGTTTGCGGCTTGTTCGCATACACCTTTTCTTTCACATAGCCCCAGAGGCAGAAGTCCATTGGCGTTAGATCGCACGATCTTGGTGGCCAATTTTGACAGCCAAACTGCAGTAACACTATTGTTTCGCGTGCTGTGTGGCAGGTCGCACCGTCTTTTTGGAACATCAATTCGATCCAATTGGGGCCACAATAATTGAACGTTGCTCGTTTGAATATTGCGCCATGACGTCTAATCGCGTGGTCTGGAGTAACACTATCCCATTTGTACAACAAATGGCGGCAATTAAAATCCGGCGCGCTTGAGACACCATTTCCGTTTCTAGTGCAAAAAAGGTGACCATCATCACTGAAGTGTTAAAATATACTGTGTCAATCCCAGCCCTTAGATTTGGTCATAGGCTGTTCCGACTGGCATAGATGTGACTTAGGAGCTAAGGCAATGTTGCTAAACAACATGCTTTGTTTCACGTCACGTCATCAACAGTTCCCACCTGCCATTTAACTGAAAGGGGTCCTAACAAATTTGCTACCTGAATCGCTACATGAACGCTACAACACAGCTAGTGAGTTTATGTCAGTTAAAATTTAGGACATCCTCTTAACAAGTTCTGCAACCTACAGCAGCCCATTTTAGCAAACATACAAGCAAGATTAAGCTGAAGATCACAGCTTATGTATCACAAAACCTTTATCTAAGCCAGCAAGAAGTGATATGGCTTCTTGGTTTATAAAAGTATTGGATACTGGTTTATTGATCAAGTTACCTCACGGCAAGTACCTACTTATCTGCAATGACCAGCATCTAATCTCTCTCTTTCGTAGGAGGATCACAAGGCTAGTCCTACATAAAAATGGACCTCCAGAGACGTTCTATCTTCATCAGGTGGTCAGCAATTAAATGTGTTTATTGAACGTCGTGTCGATTTACGTAAAACTGACTCCGGTTTTTTCTTGTAGCTGTCGTGAAGGAAATGGAACAGCAAAAAGCGCAGCTGACCAAGCAACGTGAAGAATATGTACGCAAGGTATCCGTGCTGCGCAGGGAACTGGATCAGCTGCGCTTGCAGAAAACGCAGCTGATGGGAAGCAGCAAGTCTTCGGATAGAGATATTTCCAATATACTGAAGGAAAACGACAAATTGCAGGTTAGTAAGTTTTCAGTATCATCTGGGTGTGATATTTTCATACAGGCCAATTTTTTTCTTTGCTAACCTATTGAGACTATTTGAATAAAGAAGTGGAGAGTGGTATATAGCAAGAAAGCACCGACGAAATAATTCGATCTTTTATGATTTGACGATTCGTTAATTCCCTATTTTCAAGGAAGGCACATACCTATTGCTCTGTGTTCGCGGTGTGCGCGATGACAGCGCTACCTATCGCTTGTCGGTCAAAAATATTTCATATACTCGCCTCACTTGTGTTTTCCGAGTTTAATGCACGTTCTTTTCACCAAAACATCAGCAGGTTTCAATGAGGCGGAGAATTCTTCCCCACGTGCACCCCCCTTATTTCAACTGTATACCAGCAGTCCAAACTCAGCTGAGTGAGATTTTGGTCTCACTTGCAGCTTTTAGGCAATTGCAAGAATGCTTAGTCTTGAGTGTAGCTCCATCATAAATTGAAAAAAATGTCATTTTTCAGGTTTTTTTTTTGAACTCTGAAATGAGCCAGACATTCACTGATTTGACAGTCTCAATCTCTGTTTGAACTGTCTCACTTCACATGCAAAACGAATGCAGCAACAATTCTGTATCTAGCAGCTGATAAAACTGTGTTCTGAAGTTGGGACTTTCGTTTTCAGCTGCGAAAAATGATAAAAAGTATACTTTATCTGAAGTCACTTGAAATAGCATAAAAACCTTTGGTCGGCGCGTCCTTTGTAATTTCATGACGTATCATAGGCGTGCGGTCATTTATTTACAACGATAATAATAATGTTTTTATATCACAATAAATGGATTTTACTATCTTCTTATTTTTTTGAATTGGGATAAAAAATACTTATATTGGGAGTTTAATTTATGTTGACTGAAAGTTAAGAAATGGAAAAATTACAGAATTCCAACGTTTGACATAGGCAAATATTTACATAGCAGGTAGGTATATAAAAAGGTATATAAAGACTTACATTATAGGTATTTATATATCATCCTCGCCTTCGGAGCTGTCGCTAGAGTCATCTTGTAGAGGAATTACAACGGGATTTACAGGAGGCAAAAACCAATATTCATTTCTTTTTCAATAATATGCCTAGAACAATGCTTCCATAGGTCTGTGGCAGCAATATGAGATACTGCATCTCTTATTGTGGCCAATAGCGATTCACTTAATTGAGGGGTCTGATTATGTTTTCTTACTTTTTTTTAAAGCAGCCCAGACCAACTCAATCGGGTTAAAAATGCAGTAATAGGGAGGTAGACGTAATACTCATGGCCATTTTGCTGAAGCAGATTGTCAACAACATACTCTTTTTCAAATTTTTGTCTTTTAATATGATCCAATAATATGGCTTTGGTTGATTTTGTGGTATTTCCATTCCCTTATCCTTCATAAAATCAATAATGTCTTGTTTTTTGTGCCTGTATTCGGAATTTTGTTTTTGTGTCGGGAATGGTATGGCGCATTGTCCATAATAATCACTGAATTTGGGGAAATGTTTGGTATTAACTGCTGCTCTATCACTTTTCAAATAAGTCGGAGGTCATGTCCTCATGATAGTCGGCACATGATTCTTGATATTTTTGGCAGATAACAGCAAGGCATTAGGTATAAATCCATTTTCACTGCCAGCATGGAGAATAATGATTCGTTTTCCACGGTTGCATGGTGCATTTAAAATGCACTTGTTGCTGTCGTCAACCCAGCCGTACTGCACAACATCATGGGTATCATACCACGTTTCATCCAGGTAAATCAGATTTCTTTTCTGCTCTCTATAGATTTTAACTTTGTGCAAAAATTCTTGGCGCAATTCAACCATTCGAGACGACTCCATAATCACCATTCTTTTATCTAATTTTTTGTATTGAAAACCACACAGTTTTACAATACAGTGCAGTGAGTCTAAGCATTTGTAATTATAAAAATCTTCAGGATAATCTTTTAATTTATCCCGTATCATTTCCAACGTGGGCACCAAATTTCTTTATAAAATCCGTATATTATACGACGAATATCTTCCTGAAACCCACGTCTATTCTTTTTAATTTTTGCCCTATGCGCTTTCTGTGGAAGGAATGGTTGACTACATCTCCCTTTTTATAACCCGATAAATGGTAGACCGACTGATTTTTGTCAGGATACAAATTCTGTTTAAAATTTGATTTTGCGAGGAATCTGGATTTTCGTTTTTCAGACAATCATACATATTAGGATTACTCTTTGGGTCTGTCCTCTAAATCTTTATGAAAGAATTCTGCCTGCACAGGTTCATCAACATCTCCTCGTGGCTTGGAGCATTTTCCCAAGGTCTCCAAAGAGCCATATTTAGCACACACAAGAACAATCAACACAACAATTAAATCAACAAGTAAACTGAGTATTCAAAAGTCAAAAACACACAAACTAATAAAATCTATGAAAAAACACGGACAGACTAAAGACAAACACGTTTATTCACCGCTACACGGCACTGGCTAAACTGTTTCAATTTTCAGTAGCCACCTGCACTTGTTCGGAGCTCTGAAATACATGCATAGGCGTGCTTTACTCCACGTGGACCGGTGAAACTGCCTTTGATCTTATACGGGGGATATTTGCTGCGAAATTTGGCGATTTTTGCAGCAACAGAGCGTGTTAAATATAGATATATAAAACGCACCCGGTATTTCACAGTGTTTCAAGTGACTTCAGATAAAGTATACTCATCATTCATTTGATAAAAATTTCAAGTATCACCGTGCCTTAATAACTTATAAATACTATTCCAAGTTGTTAACATCATTGGATTAGTTTGTTGTATCACTGTTATAACCAGCACCCTATTAAGAATGGGCAAGAATAAGTATTTGCCGGAAGAGTTGAAACTTAAAGTAGTCGAGTTGAAAAGAGCAATGTACTATAGCAAGAAACTTAGACTTAAGCGAGGGTATCATTCAAAAATTCTAAAAAAGTTTCGGTTACTAGGAAACTAACTAGGAAAGGCCAGACTTCAGTTTGCTCAGAGACATTTAATTTGGACACCTAAAGACTGGAGTGACGAAAGCAAATTTAAAATATTTGGTGCTGATGGAAGATTGTTTGTATGAAGACCTGTCAAGAAAAAATTGATATCAAGTATCTAACGCCTACAATAACGCATGGTGGGGGGGTGTTTTCACTAGTCTGGAACGGGCCCGATAATGAAAATAACTGGGAAAATGAATCGCTTTATGTACCGCGACATATTACAGAATACTAAGTTACCTTATGCCGAAGAAGAAATGCCGTTATGTGGAGATATCAAGAAGATAACGACCCGAAACATACATCCCATTTAGTAAAAAATTGGTTTTTAGAGAAAAGCGTTGATTTACGGGAATGCCATTCGCAATCCCCCGACCTCAATCGAATTGAGCACCTTTGGGAACACTTAGAGCGGGAAATTCGGCAAAGAATTATTCATAGTGAGAATGATGTATGGAAGGTTTTACAACATAAGTAGCGGAAGATCCCAGTTGGTGGGTGTCGAAGTCTTGTTGATTCCATGCCACGAAGATGCAGGGAAGTCATTAAGGCGAATGGATTTTCAACAAAATACTGAACATTGCTCGTTTAATTTGTATGTTTAAATTTTTTTTTAATAAAGATATCCTATCCATACTTTTGACCAAAGGTTTTCTTTATTTATCAAATATGAGACTTGATTTTATTTTGAATTATCATTTATTTCTAAAATGTTACTTAGTAGTGGATATTTATTTTTTAGTATGTAATAATTATTGATTAACATATGAATGGTACCGGGGTATTACGACCATAGTCCATCCGGACTGATTTTGAGAAAATCGGTAATTAAGGTTTACTTACTTGTTGGAAGTAAAATGATGAAAAAATAAGTCGTAAAGAATATCTTTGCTAAACAGTGTGTTTATGGGTAAAATAGATTTTACAAAATGAACGCTTACTCAAAACTAGTAACATAACAAATAAAAGATGATGTTAAGCTCTGAGATATTCTTAAGAGATATTAACTGTTGATAAAATGCCCTGGAATCTGATCTCTCTAGAAATTTGGTCAGCTCCTGCAGATCCTTCCATTTCTTACTTATAATTGGGATTGAGCCCTGGTAAAGTTTTCTCAATGTTTCCTCTTCTCGTAGTTGTTGATCTTTTTGCGTCTTTTTTAGATTCTTCCGAATTACCTTATCAAATTTAGAACTATATAGACCCATGTATGTCGATTTGTGAAAAACTACGCGAGGATTCTGTTTACAGAACTTGAGCAACTTGACTGGTCGGGTTGGAAAGGGGCACTTCGTTGGATAAACGGCGATAAAAACGTACTCCAATCTTGAAAATCAAAATTTTTGCCATAATCAATGACTTCAAATGGTGTAGGTTTCACACGGCAATCTTTGAATTCATCTCTCCAGTATCCGGTACCTCTTTGGTTCACGAGACATACCTTTATCACATCGAGATATGAATGCCCCCTGATCCGAAATATTACTTTCACAATAGTAAAACGAGTTTTCTTGATAACCAAGTAATGCAAAATCGAATAACTGTAAAGTTTTTATTTTCCCTGCACAGGAGTCGCCGAAATGGCAAGTTCTTTTACGTCCATAGGCAGGAAAACAAGTGATACGCATAGAACAGATATTGTGAGCCTTTCTTAGCAATAGATTCTCGTAGGTATAAAGAATTTGCTTTTGACAGAATGTGGATGTTAAAACTGATGAAATTTAGTTGCCGCTTATAGTAAACATCATTGTCGTGATATTTGGGAGGGCAAATTTTTTTGGTAATCCATGGTGATACTTTCGATAGCGCGGAACTTCGAGGCACGTTTCCGGTAAGTTCTCTTTAGACTGTAAAATCGCTCACTCCTTCTTTGATGTAGTGTCTTCTCAAGTATCTTTTTCTCCAATTGTTACTTGCTGACTGTGTGGGAATTTAAGGTAGCGGTAAGTGAAGATATATCAGCTTTTAAGGAATCACACGTACTACAAGTATCTTTTCGTGGATAACCGAACGATATGTGAAGTTGTTTTCAAAGATTTCTCGGAAGGATTCATAGGAAATCTTGTTTTCAACATTGTGTAATTTTGCGATATTTAGATTTTCAGGTAGGTAAACTTTTTGCGAATCTGCCAAAGAATAATGACATTTGCGGCATTTGAGGCTCTTAATAAACTCGGTCACTTTCTGTTTTGTGTTTTGTGAAGTCGTGTGTTGTGTTTTCCACGCATGTCGATGGGCGATTTCCCAGTTGCAACTAATGAGTGTCTTATGTACCGAACTCGACGAACTGTAATTCCGTGTAAAGACAAAAAAGCCTTAAGACAACTGGAACATCACGTATAATTCCATTTTCAACCAATCGGACACGATAACTAAATGAAGCATTATTAAGCCTTGACTCTGCTTAATTTTTCGAGGGTGTCTACGCATGATAGGAAGAACAGTGATAAGACTAAGATCAGCGTTTTGTGCATTAGTGGTTCCTAGTTAATGAAATTCACGAAGTCTACAGCGTTCAGGTTCAGGAACTGTAGTAAACTTCGAAAACGCACAAAAACAATCAGATCCAAGTTCGTGGGTAGTAACGCGCAACGTTTTCATTACGTCTCTTTGTCACCGTGTTTTTTTTGCGTTTTTTCGTTTCTCTGTTTGATGGGCCTGGTTCATTATCACTTGAAACTGAATAGTCACCATCCATCATACACAAAACCCGTATTATAAACTAAATTAGCGAATATAGTCAAATTCAAAATATCAGCGTATACAACTCTAATAGTTGGCTGATGCAATAACGAAGCGCCCAAGCAGTACGGCCGATGCAACCCGCCTTTCCGTATGGACTGATGCCGTTTTTCCATACACGCGCAGGAACTCATGCCATTCTTCCCCGGCACAGGGAATCTTATAGCTGTTGTTTTGTGAACCTAAGCCCTTTTACAATTTAAGAAGCTGATTACAAGATAGCATCAGGAAAATGCCACCAAAATAAACTGACAGCTCAATTTAGCCAAATAATGAACTAATGCCGTTTTTCCCCCGGTACCCTTGATATAAGAGTATAATCAGAAAACAAATCTTTCCATAATTTTGGCCATGACTGTATATGCCGCGAAATGGAAACTTCCAAACTTCAAGAACACAATGTATTTGACAAAGGAGCTGATTTTTCACTCATCTTTAACATTACTTTTTGTATTGTTTTATATTACAATTTTGTCCTGCAGGCTAAATAAATACTGTATATTAGGAATTCGACTTATTTACTAGTCTCCTTAACATATTTTTCTATTCCAGTCGGAGATCCAAGGAAAAATGAAGGCTATTCAAAATGTCATTGAGATGCTCTCTAGCATTATCAAGGACGGAAAATCCGTGGCAGATTTAGAAGCATCCTTGAACGAAGTCGCTAATGCTCATGAGAATGCGTGGACAGCCACTCCCGAAAAAAAACCGTTCTAGTTATTCCCATTTTCAGAAGTAAGGATTGAGAATGAAATACATGCTTGTTTTTTCAGCACATAGTTGAATTTTATTATGATCGTGAGAGTGCCGACTGAATGTCAAATGTCTTTTAATTCCACGAACTGTATCTGTTGAAGTTGGTAGTTTTTTGAATATGAATTTTCGGAATGATTTCCAAAACGTAACAGCGTATGATTTGTTATTTTATATGCTTTGACACTGCTGGTTTTCAT